AACAGTGGTCCGATGAGGACATTCAGAAGAGAGATCGTCTGAAGGGCAACAGCGCCTTGGTCGCCGAGGGTTTCCAGGACGAGCTCGAGGCGCTGATGGCAGATGATGATGACTTGGGTCCAGGAGACCTGGACACCGAGAGCCTGGAGGCCTACATGGCTGAGCAGACGAAGATTGATGAGGCCATGGCCGCAATTCAGACACGGAAGACAACCTTGAAAGAAGCACGCTGGAAGCAGAAGCAGCTCAAGCTGGGTCGTGGCTTTTTCCCACCAAAGCCATACCAGAGGCCCGGTCAGGCTGGTCAGGACAGCCGCAATTCCCAGGGCAAGAGATGCTTTCGATGCAATGGTCCACATCTCGTGGCAGATTGCCCACAGAAGAACCAGCAAGCCAAGGTTGTGCAAGAGGAGTCCGCCGAGATCGCCTTTGCAGCGGGTGAGGTACGAGTTGAAGAGGCTGGATTCCTAGGAGAAGAGTGCTATGAGGCCATGGGCACTGAGAAGGCATTGGAGCAATGCATGGGGATCATTGACTCCGCTGCCACCTCAAGCCTGGGATCCGCTGAGGCACTTGAGCGCATCATGGAGGAGAACCTCCAACACCATGGAGAGACCAAGATGGACATCGATGTGAGCCGACGTCCCACCTTCCGGTTCGGCAACGGGCAGAGGAAGGACTGCTTGTCAACGGTGCGGGTAGGCATTGGGGCTGGCTCCCAAGCTGGGTCCATGGAGATTCATGTCCACGATACTCCAGGGCAACCAGTTCTTGTATCCAGAAAGGCCTTGAAAGGTCTTGGGGCAGTGATCGACTTTGAAGCAGGCTTGGCCATCTACAAGAACGTGGACAAGAATCAGGTAGTGAGACTCACTGAGGCCGACAATGGCCACTTGCTGATGCCCATCACCGGAAACATCCTGACTGGTGCAATGCGCCGCCAGACTCCGTTTGTTTCACTTTTTGACGAATAGGGGAGACGCTCCTTTGACGATGTGGACGGAAAGAATTCCGGTCAAGGGAGCCACTGTGTTTTGGGGAAAGAATCCAAATTTGATTCTTTTGGGTTAGATTGTATGACAATCTGTTCAGAGTGTCCTCACTGTGAACTGATGGCAGTGAGGGATCAGCAGTGTCACTTTTGCCAGGAACACGTTGACAATCAAGCTTTACATACACACATGATACACACACACACACACACAGCACATTTCCGACTCAAGCCAGACGTGTGAACGAGGTACGACTGTTTCCCGACCATTGCACTCTCCAGATGCCGGCGCCAACCACCAAGGCCGACTGGATTGCCAAGATGAAGAGCGTGGGCATCAATGTTCCAATCGAGTGGAATCTCATCCAGATCAAGGCCGCTTGGGCCGACTATCAGGAGACCAAGAAAGACAGTCCAGCAGAGATCATGAAGGAAGAACTCTCAGGCCTCAACTCGCAAGAAGGCCGACCTTCAGCAGTACCTGGGGGACATGGGGGTTCAAGTGCAATCCAAGGAGACTGTGGCAGCCATGTTCAACAAGGGCGAGGCAGCCATCATCCAGAAGTACGAACCGACAGGCAGCGAAACAGTGGGCTTTGGCAAGTATGGGACAATGACATTCGAAGAGGTGGCAGAAAACCACCAGGACATACCAGGACTATCTGACATGGTGCATCAAGGCTCTGAGCGAGGGTGAAGTGGGCCTCCGCACAGGGCTATTGCAAGACCATGAAGACGTCCGGACCGATCAAGAGTCCCCAGAAGACTCCAGGAGTTTCCTCAACTGGATATCAAACAAAGACCATGATTTCCAACTGGGACGACTTGCCGGAAATGAAGGCCAAGGCCAAAGCCAAGGCGATGATGAAGCCTCCCGAGGAGATCCCACTGCCACAGGTGGACTTCGATTCCGACGAAGAGAACATCATGATGCGGAAGAAGATCCAACAGTTGGAAGAGGAGAATGCAAACCTTCATCGTCAGCACAGCCGGAACAAAGACACCTTACCCGACAAGACAGCTCTGGAACTTTTGCGTTCATGGGGTCCTCACACAAATCAATACAGGAAAGCATGGCAACAATTAGTTCAACATCATCGTCCTTTTTTGAGAATAGTATTTTTTTCTGAGGAGGTTCAAAAACGATACAGTACTAACAGTAGTATTAGGTTGAGCAATCGGAATTGGAATGGAGCTGATCTAGAAACAGAGGAGGGTGTGCAGTTTGCTATCAAGATGCTACGTCAGC